CACATAATAACACATGATAGGTTCACTGAGTAGGAACATGAGAATCCGTTATACTCATCTCTGTGCTTTTGAATGTTTTTGAGATTTTTCCATAACAAAAAGGTAAAAATATAAAATTACATACACATATAACTCCAGAATGCAACTACTTCCCATCACTTCCACTGCTATCACCTTAGTATGATCCACCATTATCCTTCCCCTGGATTACTGTCATAACTCCCTAAAAAGCCTCCAAACTTCTACATTCCCTACTCCACCCCCTTTAGTCTCTTTTTCAACATAGCAGCCAGAAGGATCCTTTAAAAATCTAAATCTGATCACCTCACTTCTCTGCTCAAACTGCTGCGTGGCTCCCATTTCACACAAAGGAAAAAGCCAATGTTCTTACAATGCCCTGTAAGACCCTATACGATCAGAACCCCCATTACCTATCCAACACATGGTCCTGTTTTTCATGAAATATCTGGGGGAAGAGGGTTTCAAGCAGAAGAAACACCCTGGAGCAAAGACACCAAGGCAGTAGCAAACCCGATAAATCTGAAGAACATAGACAGCCTGGAAAGAGACCCCAAGATCACCCTGAGCTGACCAAAAACAAGACCAATGTTCAGAAAATACAGGCTGACTCAGCCTTCCTGTAATTCAGGAATGATGTAGTGAAAGAGAATGGGTTTTAGAATTACTGACTTGCCCAAATTCTTGTCTTCCCATTTGCTGACTAAAATTCAAGTTCTGATCCTCAATTTTTCTCACTTGAAAAATGGGGAAAATGTAATGATTTTCTGAGATTGTTGCTAATTGAGGTATTATGTGTAAGACACCTAGTGTAATACCTTGCATATAGCTGGAATTCAAATGTTAACACACACATATACCCTTCTTCTGTAGAGAAAATGTGGGCAAAGTATATCCTGAGAAGATGGGAAAACTCATTTTCTTAAAATACCTCTCATGGAGTCTGCATGAGAGAAAGTGAGCCTTGGCCTGGTAGATAAGAACACTTAGTTCCAGTCCAGCCTGTGACATAACTAGCTGGGGACTTTGGGAGAGTCTCTCCATCTCTTTGGAATGTAGTTCAATCATCTTCAAAATGAGAGGATTGAACTAGATCTCTAAATTTTCTTTCAGTGCTAAGATTCTATGATTTCTGAATAACATTTGGTGATTCCTTCCTTTCTTAAGCAGCCCTTTTGGGTGTGCGTCACAGGGGACAGGGCATTACAATAATGGAAGGTAGGATCGGAAGAAGGAAATATTTACATTATAAAGTATGGCTGGTTCTATGGGTGTATGTCTTCTGCGGGCTCAAAGGGCCCTGTGCTCTGTTTAATGCTCTTCTGTATTGTCCTAAAATTCTGAATTCTTTTTGAACAAGTTCTGCATTTTCATTTTACACAGGGCCCTGAAAATTCCATGGCTGCTCCTATTTCTATAGATTGACTATTATAAGCACAAAAGATATTTTCTATGAGAAACTAGAGAAAATGGCAGCAAGATATCTCTAGGCACCTAAAGAGAGGGGAATGGATGGAATAGATAGTTTCCTGAGATAAAATGGAAGTGAGAGAAGGTTATGTAGGGATGAGGAGGGGAAAAATGAGGTAGATGGTCACTTCAACATTATGGAGTGCTTCTTTACCTTTTGCTATTTGCTTTCTCTAAACGATAGTAAAAGAGTGCCATCTACTGGCCAAGAATACAGACTCTTTCAGAGGTTTCCAATGCAGCCTCTTTGCTGCATTTCAGTGTCTAAACAGTGTTCCAGAAAGGGCTGACATACCACATTCTGCACTTAAAAATGATAACTATTAAATGCTTCTTCAATTCCAAACTCCATACTAAATAAAGTTAATACAAAGACTCCTCCTGAACTGATCCACTAAAACTGCTTTTATTGATTGAACAAAAAATACAAAGCACTATGTGCCACACAGCAAGTATTTAATGATGAACACCACTGGGAGAGATATTTCGGTCATTAAGAATTTCCTCAAATGCATACAAATTCTCAGGCTCATCTTGAATCTGAATCAAAATACAAAGAATAGCATCATAACCTTCAGCACTGGATGGCTGGCTGGAGTACAGTTATACTTTCACTCAGTATGTGCTAATATGCAGGGTGGTATATATATCTTGCCTTCAGGCCCAATGACAAACCTTCAGGCTATTTTCTGGAACAGACTTTACTGGAGAATTGACTGGAAAACAAGAATAAGCAAGACAGTGGCAGAAGATGAAAGTTAGGAGCAAATGGTACAAATCAATAGTCATGGATAAGCATAGCGTTCCAGAGGGCTTCTTTCATCCATGTATATCCTCATCAAAGTTTCCATTAGAATGAAGGATTGCAAGAAATCCTCTATGCCCTGTAATCAATATTACCAGGAATGACAGAGGGAGCTTAAATAATTAGTAGTTAGGACTGCGGTGAAGTGAAGAAGTAGTAGAATTCTGAAGGAGGGCAGGCAAGGAAGTGCTCCCTAAATGTCAACCCAGTTTCAAAGCCACATCTCTCAGATGACAGGTAGTGTAACTGGGTTCTTATCAAACATACTCACTGAAGAAAACACCTGAAAGTAAAAGAAACGTAATCTTCCTAAACTTGAGAACAAAATGTCCTTTAGGTAAAGGAGTATATACTCAATGCCATTTGTTGGTTTCAATTTAGAAACTTTTTAACAAGATATATTTTTTAAAAAGGATACTGAAGGACATAAATGTGACACAGAACTTCCTCTCTTTAGTATATCCTCGGAACAGAGCAACCTCAGTGAAGATGGAGGTAATTTCACAATCCCAGTCCAGACTGAGTATTTGTCCCTGCATGTTCCCATGGCACAAGGTGTTCAACTCCAGCAATACCATTTCTCTGTATTCAATCTGGTTGCCAGCTCCTCTAGTTTGTGAGCTATATGAGAGCAGGGATAAGGTCTTATATTTATACCCTACACTGTATCCCCCCTAACACAGAGTAAATATTAATGATTGTAGTTTGAGGCATGCTGAACAGCCCTAGCCTCAGAAAGCCAGCTTTCCCCATTCTTTCTTATACCCAGAAATTCTACAGAGGGAATCAGTCCTTGTTGTTCTTTACACACAGATAAACTTATTCTGAACCAGATCACCCTAGCCATAGCTGATTAAGTCAAAATGGCCACCTGATCCAAGGGCAGCCAGTGATAGGAAAACTTTGCTCATGACCAATAATTCTCATTAATTAAAATCAGGTGGGGTCTCTCTGTTGAGAATTTGTCTTCAATACGCAGAAAAAGTCATTAGCTAGTAATGACGGGCAAAAGTTAAAAGATACAGATGGAAAAGCAAACAACAGTGGCCATGAGGTAAGAGCAGCCATGATGAGTAAACAAAAACCGGAAAAAAGAAAAGAGGAGGCCAGGCGCGGTGGCTCATGCCTGTAATCCCAACACTTTGGGAGGCCGAGGCAGGTGGATCACGAGGTCAAGAGATCGAGACCATCCTGGTCAACATGATGAAACCCCGTCTCTACTAAAAATACAAAAAATTAGCTGGGCATGATGGTGCACGCCTGTAATCCCAGCTACTCGGGAGGCTGAGGCAGGAGAATTGCCTGAACCCAGGAGGCGGAGGTTGCGGTGAGCCGATCGCGCCATTGCACTCCAGCCTGGGTAACAAGAGCGAAACTCTGTCTCAAAAAAAAAAAAAAAAAAAAAAAAAGAGAGGAGTGAGATAATATATTTAGATGTGGAAGTAATGAATTATTGTTTCTGGTTGATAAAAACATAATTTGTTCAGTATAGGTTCCTTGGATCCCAAGTAGCTAAGAATACATATTTCTTTGACCAAATATGAATCAAGCACTTACCATGTGCTAAATATCACATGAGTTTTAGTGGTGAACCAGACAAATCTATTTTGTTTCCATGGAAATTCAATCTAGCTTAGAAGCTTAGAATCTAGACATGGAAGACATATTGAACAAGTAAAAATTATTGTGATAAGAATTACAAAGGTATAAAAGCAGGCTCTCATAGAAATATATGCTACCTTGAATTACATTATCCATTGAACTATTTTTCATAAGATGCTTAATTATATGGACTTCCTTGATTTCTTAAAAGGCCTAATTCACATTTCAGACTCCTGTCATCCTTATTCTCATACAAACTGGCTCCTAAGCACAAGGAAGAGATCATAAAATCTAAATAAATGCCTTATTTATAAAACACAGCACTAATTCAGATACAGTTAAATGCAACTCCTACTACCACTACAAGTTAACAGTAATTAATACATGGTGTTTCCAATGTGTCAGAAATTTTTCAAAGTGATTTATAATACCAATGCATGTTCATCATCACAACAAAGCCTATATAATAAGAACAATTATCACTAGGCTCATTTTACACATGAGAAAACTCAGGCAGAGAGAGGTTATATAGCTTGCCCAAGGTAAACAGCCAGTAAGTCGCTGAACTAGGATTTGGACCCAAGCAGTCATCCTAGAGTCCAAATTCAATTTTATTTAATGTGGTTATGTAGGTAAATTTTCATTTGAAATATCGTCCATCAAATACATATTAAGTATGTCTTATATGCAGGCACTATATGCCAGGTGCTTATCTAGGGGTTACAGATACAACAAAGAACAAGACAGACAAAAATCCCTGTTGTCATGGAAGGGATACAGATAATAAACATGAGAATGAAGTGAAATATATTGTAGATTTGATGATATAAGTGCTACTGAGAAAAAAACAGAAAGAGAGATGTGGAGTGTCAAGAGGTGAGATCACGGGTACAGTTTTAAATAGAGTTGAATGGCATTAAGTGGATAACATTTGAGCAACAGCCTGAAGGGAGTTAGAGAATAAGCCATTCTAAGTATGTTTTAATCAGTGGTCTGGATTTGGATCCTTGAGCCCGTGACATTCCTAAAAGAGCCTTGGAATTACACTGAGTGTTTCTGGGCGCTGTAATATAAAGAGTCTCAGGATGGATACAGTGGCTCACACCTGCAATCCCAGGTACTCAGAAGGCTGAGGCAGGAAGATCACCCTTGTGCCCAGGAGTTCAAGGCTGTAGTGAGCCATGATCATGCCACTGCACTCCAGGCTGGGAGAGACCCTTTCTGAAAAAAATAAATAAAGAGCCTAATTAGCATAGCCTATGTGGGCTCAAAGTTGCTCCCTAAGGAAGAACAGAGTAACATAACAAAATAAGCTTTATGAAACAAGCAATCGACTCCTATCTTTTGAACTGGAATTTCTGGAGGATTATTTTGTGAGGTAACAATACTGAAAACTTTATGAACTCTAGTCTTCCCCGTTTCTAGCTGTTATAAGGCCAATACATGACCTAGTTTAGTCTGCCTGCATTACAAATTGAGGAAGTCATTCTCACACCACGGAGAGTAGCTCTCACTGCTTGTGGGGGTCATATTACTCATTCCCTTAGGTTCCTAGGGAGTACTCTTAATCCCCAGGGGAGAGAACCTCTATGAAAAGAAAGTTGTTTATGAAATTTAGTGTGCATGGGAATGATGAAGGAACGGAGGAAAAGACCAGAGCCATACTATTCCTACATTCTATAACTCTGACCACTATTGAACCATGAGCCTGTTTCCCTCTTAAGTTGATTTAGGTTAGCTTTTTGGTGTCATCTTTTGCCTCCTACACCTCACACTTTTAGAAATCAAGTAACATGTCCCCAACTTTGAGATCCTGTTGCAATACTCCAACAGTTTAAATGAATAGAACTATACCAGTGTGTGGTCCATTTGCCAACATAGAAAGTAGGAGGAAAATAAACGTTTTCTTTTGAACTCTGAGAATACTCTAAATTTGTTATTTATTTTTAAGCATGGGAACATCTTTTCAAAAGAAATCTTCATGGAAGCCTAACAATGCCTGCACTGTCAACTCTACTCTGCACCTAGAAGCGGGTACACTAGCTAGCTCATTCTTAATACAACAGCACTTGAGGTTTTTCCACTTCAATACTCCTTTCAGGGAGTAAAGAATGGCATAACCTGAAGTTGTCGCAAGAAGCAATTATCCAAAGCATCTGAACTTGTTCAATCAGATCTACGAACAAAGTACTGGACTAGATGCTGTCCTCAAAGTCTTACCATGGGTCCTGAAATATTAGGGTTTGACTGGCAGCAGAAACTCCTCCTTTCACATCTATAATTACCTTTTGGGCTATCAGCTGGGACATGGGGGCCAAAAGGGCTTAGGTATCTTCCATCTCACAGATTCAGTGTCTTCTAAGCTTTTCTACTTTTTTTTTTAGCACCTGAAAACTTCACCTTTTAAGACTGTAAACAGCCCCACTTAAGATATAAAAGGCAAGGGCCAGATGTGGTGGCTCACACTCAAAATCCCAGTGCTTTGGGAAGCCAGGTGAAATAATCACTTGAGGCCGAAAGTTTGAGACTAGCTTGGGCAACACAGTGAGACCCTTTCTCTCCCTCGCTCTCTATATAAAAATACATAAAGAAAATTATTTACTTAAGAACTGCTACCCTGATTGCTTCCAGAGAGTCCAATTTAATAAATTACAAGAATTATCTGTTTTAGAACTTTAAGGTTGATTGAGTCCCCTAATGAAGACCAGTGTAACTTTTTGTTGTGGGGAAGGTGAAGACTGTCAAGTATTAATATTCTTTTTGGAAGGGGTGCGGGGGTTCTTTTACTGTGGTAAGATACATATAATATACAATTTGCCATTTTAATGATTTTATATGTCAATTCAGTGACTATTAATTATATTCACAATGTTGTGTAATCATCAGGACCATCTGTTTCCAAAATTTTTTATAACCACAAACAGAACCCTCCCATTAAGCAACAACAACCAGTTGCCCCCATCTCCCAAGATCCTGAAAAATCACATATTTTCTTCCATTCTACAGACTGTCTTTTTACTTGTTTCTGGCTTAAATGAAATGCTTATTTCATTTAGCACTTTTTCAAACATTATTTTAAAACACTTAGCATTATTTCAAGACTCATCCATGTTGTAGCAAATATCAGAACTTCATTCCTTTTTATAGCTGAGTAGTAATTAGTTATGTGTATAACTACATTTGGTCTATCTATCCATTTATGGACAGTTGAGTTGTTTCCACTTTTTGGCTATTGTTAATAGTGCTGCGATGAAACAGCATACTTGGTGTATACTTGGTGTTCAACCATCTGAGTCTCTGTTTTAAATTATTTGGGTTATATACCTAGAAGCAGAAGCTAGGTCAAATGGTTCTTCTTTAACTTTCTGAGGAGCCTCTAAATTATTTTCCATAATGGCTGCATCATTTTACATTCCCACCAGCAATGCTAAAGGATTTAAGTTTTCCCATATCCTTGCCAACACTTGTTATTTTCTGTATTATTATTATTATTATATTATTATTGCCATCCTAGTAGATGTGAAGTGGTATCTCATTGTGATTTTGATTTGCATTTCCCTAATGACTAATGGTGTAGAGCATATTTTCAACTGTGTGTTGGCTATTTGTGTATCTTCTTTGGAGAAAAGACTGTTGAAGTCTTTCATCGGTCCCTTTTTAACTGGGTTGTCTTTTTGTTGTGGAGTTGTAGAAGTTCTTTACATATTCTGTATATCAAACCTTTATCAGATATATGACTAACAAAAATTTTCTCCCATTCTGTAAACTGTCTTCTTACAATGTTTTTTTATACCCGAAAGTTTTTAATTTTGATAAAGTCCAATTTATCTCTTTTGTTGTTGTTGCTTGATATTAGCTGTGGGTTTTTCATTATACCTTTTATCAAGTTGAGGAAGTTCCCTTCTATTCCCAGTTTTCTGGGTGTTTTTATTAGGAAAGGGTATTAGATTTCACCAAATGCCTATTCTGCTCAATTGAAATGAAATGATTGTCTTTTTTCCATTTGTTTTACTAATGTGGCATATTATACTAGTTGACTTTCTTATGTTGAGCTACCCTTGCATTTCTGGGATAAACCTCATGTGGTAACAGTATATGATCCTTTTCAAATGCAGTTGGCCAGGCACAGTGGCTCATGCTTTTAATTCCAGCACTTTAGGAGGCCAAAGCAGGCAGATCACTAGCTCAGGAGTCCAAGACCACCCTGGCTAACAGGGTGAAACCCTGTCTCTATAAAAAATAACAAAATAAAATAAAATGCTGTTAATTTGGGTTTGCTAGTACTTTTTGAGAATTTTTTTTTTAGACAAGTCTCACTCTGCCGCCAAGGCTGGAGTGCAGTGGCTCACTGCAACCTTTGCCACCTAGGTTCAGTCAACTATCCTGTCTTAGCCTCCCCAGTAGCTGGGATTACAGGCACCTGCCACCGTGCCTGGCTAATTTTTGTATTTTTAGTAGAGATGGGGTTTCACATCTTGGCCAGGCTGGTCTTGAACTCCTGACTTCATGAGTCACCTACCTCGGCCTCCCATAGTGCTGGGATTACAGGCATGAGCCATGGTGCCCAGCTCTTTTTGAGAATTTTTGTATCTATATTCATAAGGGATACTGGTCTGCATTATTTATTGCAGTAAAGGCACATAACATAAAACGTATCATATTAACCATCTTCAAAAGTACAGTTTAGTAGTGTCAAACATATTCACAAAGTTGTGAACAGATCTCCAAAACATTTTCATCTTGCAAAACTATGACTCTATGCCTATTAAACAATTGGCCTTTTTCCTCTGTCCCCCAGCCCCTGGTAGTCACCACTTGACTTTCTGCTTAATGGAATCTGACTACGTAAGATACCTCATGTAAGTGGAATCATATAGTATTTGTCTGTCACTGGCTTATTTCACTTAGCATAATGACCTCAAGGCTCATCCATGTTGTAGCATTTGACAGGATTTCCTGTTAAGGCTGAATGATATTCCATTTTATGTACATAATACATTTTTTTTTTATCCTTTCATCTGTTGATGGACATTTGGGTTGCTTCCACCTCTTGGCTATTGTGAATAGTGCTGCTATAAACATGGGTGTGCAAATACCTGTAATTTTCTTTTCTTGTGTCATTATCTGCCTTGGTATCTATCAGTGTACTGGCTTCATAGAATGAATGAGAGATCAGTTCTATTTTTTGGTGAGAGTTTGAAAAAAAAAAGTATTAATTCTTTTTTAAATGTTTGATAGAATTCACCAGAGAAGTGATCTAATCCTGGACTTTTCTTTGTTGGAATGTTTTGATTACTGATTGAATCTCCTTACTTGTCATAGGTTTGTTCAGCTTTTCTATTCATCTAAGTTATCTAATTTGTTGACATACAATTGATCATAGTATCCTCTTATAATTCTTTTTATTTCTGTAAGTTTGGTGGTAATATCTACACTTTCATTTATGATTTAGTTATTTGTGTCTTCTTACTTTTTTTGTGTGTAATTAAAGGTTTGCTAATTTTGTTGACCTTTTCAAATAACCAACTTTTGGTTTCACTGATTCCCTTTATGGGTTTTCTATTCACTGTTTCATCTATTTCTACTCTAATCTTTATTGTTTCCTGTCTTCTGATAGCTTTGAGTTTATTTGCTCTCGATTTTCTATTTCCTTATGGTGTAAAGTTAGGTTGATTTGACATCTTTCTTTTTTAATGTAGTCATTTATAGTTATACATTGTCTTCACTGCAATCTATAAGTTTTCATATGTTTTATTTTCATTTTCATTTGTCTCTCAAGTATTTTCTAATTTCCTTCATGATACCCTTTTTGAACTACTGGTTGTTTAAGAATGTGTTAAGTTTCCACAAGTTTCCATATATTTGTGAATTTTCCAGTTTTCCTTCTGTTATTAATTTCTAACATCATTTCATTGTTATCAGAGACATTTCTGACTTCAATTTTTAAAACTTTATTAAAACTTCTTTTATGCCTTAATATATGATATATCCTGGAGAATGTTTCATGTATATTTGATAAGACTGGGTATTTTGCTGCTGTTGGGTGGAGTTCCACATGTGTCTGCTAGGTATAGCTGGTTTATAGTGTTTGTTGTTCAAGCCCTCTATTTTCTTACTGATCTTCTGTCTAAATGTTCCACCCATTATTAAAAGTGAAATATTAAAGTTTCCAAAAATTTTTGTAGAACTGTCTATTCCTCCTTCAATTCTGTCAATATCTGCTTCATATATTTTGATTCAGCATTTTCTTGGTTGCTGTAAACTTTTGACTGTTTTCCAGCATTCTGACAAAGTTATTTCAGACTTTTCCTTGTTTTTCAATGCTGCTGTGGAGGGACAGGAACTTGGAGTTGCTAATCCACCATTTTGAACATGGGTCAGCAAAGGTGACTTTTTGACACTAGCTTTCACCAGAACAGGAAAAGAAGATAAAAAAATAAAACAACAACAACAAAAAAGCAGTCACTCTGTTCTCCAACAGGTGTATTTATAGATATGAACAAGAAAGCTGAGCTTCTTCAGTAGAGGCCTTAAGCCACATTCCCTGCATCTATCTCTTCTGTTCCATGTTGGTTCTTGAGTAATCCCTGAGGAATCGCAGCATTCCATGAAATTTAGTTTAAAAAACACCATTACAAATCATTAAAGCCCCTTGATACTTATGTGCCTACTGCCCCGTGATCTGACATCAGAAATAGTTAAATCATGATTTTGGACTAGACTATCTTTTGCTTATTTTCTAATTTACTTTTTTTTTCAACAAACTTTCCAACTTCTAGTTAATAAAATGCATTTTCATTGATAAAATTTGAAAAATATGGAACAGCACGAAGAATGAAACTATCTGTGATCCCATCTCCAAGGATAACTGCTATTAACATGGTTACATTTGTTACACTTATAAGTCTAATTCTGATCAATATTTTATAGATAGCAATGATCCCCTTAGCATCCATTTATTTATTCTAAAATAACAACTTTTTAATTCCAAGCATAGGTTTTAATTCCAAGCATAGGTTTTAATTCCAAGCACAGGTTTTTTATGCTTGGAAACTTATAATTTTATGAGATAAAAATATGTCATGTATTGACTAACCTTTCAATCTCCATCCTCAGTGACTGCCCCGTAACACTTTCCTATAAAACAAATAACAGGTTGACTGTTGATGATTAGCCTAATAAAATTTCAAAGTTGTAGGTTTCAACATCTTAGTCTTTTGTGCCTACTAGTTAAGCTCTGCTTTACCGAAGTTGTTTATAAACTTTCAAAAGCAGAAGGATGCTGTTCTGAAATAAAATCTTGTACAAAACTCTAAAATATAAACAAAACTAAGTTTTTATGGTTGAAGTCTGTTAGTTCATGTATAACTAAGTAGCAGAAAGACGTTCAATTGTATCTGACTAGTATGTTCACAGCCAGTTCTGCCTAGCCTTCCAAATACCATATCATTATGCAGAACCCCAGGTTCTGTGATACTGTTTAAAAACTTAATGCTCTATTATACAACCTCAGTCAGTACTTTTTTTTTTTCCGAGACGGAGTTTCGCTCTTGTAACCCAGGCTGGAGTGCAATGGCGTAATCTCGGCTCACTGCAACCTCCGCCTCCTGGGTTCAGACAATTCTCCTGCCTCAGCCTCCTGAGTAGCTGGGATTACAGGCACGTGCCACCATGCCCAGGTAATTTTTTGTATTTTTAATAGAGACGGGGTTTCACCATGTTGGTCTCGATCACCAGGATGGTCTCGATCTCTTGACCTTGTGATCCACCCGCCTCGGCCTCCCAAAGTGCTGGGATTACAGGCTTGAGCCACCGCACCCGGCCAGTACTTTTAACGAATTGTTGAAATTGCGTTCTGTATCTCTTATGGCTCCTTGGACAACGTCTGACACACGGCAGGTATTAAAAAGTATTTACTGAAATTAAAGAAGGAAAATCCACAAAGGGGGAAAGGATTGGTACATATCCATTACTAGTACTTCAAAAATTCTCAGAAAGTATCCCTACTGACAGTATAGCTCAATAGTGTTAGATCTCACTGGTATTATACACTATTATGTTCTAAAATACACAATTTAACAAGTGGTTTTTTTTTTTTTGACCTGGATTGTGTTAGTGGTTGCAGAATATAACAAAATATTGTTGAATAAATATTTAATTTCTTCCATGTTGAAGACAGTGTTTGAAGGGCTGTGGAGATTAAAAAGATGGCAAAAATACTGTCTCTCCTTTAAAGAACATATAATATTTGCCAGGCTCAGTGGCTCATGCCTGTAATCCCAGAAGTCTGAGAGGCTAAAGCAGGAGGATCACTTGAGGCTGGGATTTTGAGAAAAGCCTGAGCAACATAATGAAACCCCATTTCTACAAAAATAAACATTAATAAAAAGCAAGTCTGGCATGGTGGTGTGTGCGTACAATCATACCTACTGAGAAAGCTGAGGTGGGAGGATTGTTTGAGCCCAGGGGTTCAAGGCTGCCATGAACTCTGATAGCACCACTGCACTCAAGCCTGGGTGATAGACCAATACCCTGTCTCAAAACAAATGAACAAAAGTTAATACTCTAAAAGGGGAGAAAGTTTACATAAAATTGCTAGAAAGCAAGCCAATATGCCAGACAATACCAAGAAAATTTCAGTATTTTTTGAGTCAGAGGTAGGGAAATTTTGAAAGATGACCAGTCTAATACATAGCCCCATTAATAGGAGGCCATTACAGAATGTAGAGGGAAATAATAGGTTCCAGAGGAAGGCAAAAACTATTAAAACAAATACTTCACTCACTGCCTTGATCTTGAGAAAATAACCCTCCTCCCATGAAGAAAACATAACATAGAAAGAAGTTAGGGACAAGTTAAATGTGAAGTTTTCACAATTGGTATGTTAGAAATACCATGAATGGAGAGATCAATGTGAATTGTAGCGAAGGAAACTTTATGAAGTTGGCACTTAAATTGGGCCCCAAAGGATGAGTAGGATTTAGAGCAGTAAGAAAGCATTCCAGTTTAACAGGAACAACGTGCACCAAAGCCCAGAGGCCAAGAGAACAGTTTCCATGAGGAAGACAGAAGAAAGCACTCTGACTGGAGCAAAGAATGTTTGCTGGGCGCCAGGTTGGGTGAGCCAGATTAATAGTGGGTACAAAGGTGGAAACGGCTAAAGACCAAGATGAAGATAAAAGAGAAGCTGCAACCTAGTTATAATGATAGTACAATTCTTTCTTTGTTAGACCAGGGAGGGAACAGGATCTTGCTGTAGCTCAGGCTGAAGTGCAGTGGTATGATCGCCGTTCACTGCAGCCTTGACCTCAAGCGATCCTTCTACTTCGGCCTCCCAAGTAGCTGGGACTACAGGGGTGTGGTACGACACCCAGCTAACTTTTGTACTTTTTGTAGAGATGGGATTTTGCCATGTTGCTCAGGCTTGTCTCAAATACCTCAACACAAGCAATCCACCCACCTTGGCCTCCCAAATTTGGGATTATAGGCATGAACAACAGTGCCCAGCAGATAGTACAACTCTCAAACAAAGAAAACTAACAGAGGTATACAAAGGAGTAAGAATAGAAGAGAAAAGGCCAGGCACGGTGGCTCAGCCTATAATCCCAGCACTTTAGGAGGCCCAGGCAGGCAGATCACCTGAGATCAGGAGTTCAAGACCAGTCTGGCCAACATGGCAAAACTCTGACTCTACTAAAAATACATAAATTAGCCGGGTGTGGTGGTGGACATCTGTAATCCCATCTACTCAGGAGGCTGAGGCAGGGAAAATCGCTTGAACTGAGCAGGGAGGTTGCAGTGAGCCAAAATAATGCCACTGCACTTCAGCCTGGGTGACAGAGCAAGACTCCGTCTCAAAAAAAAAAAAAAAAGAAAAAAGAGGTGGCAGTGAGCTGAGATTGCGCCACTGCATTCCAGCCTGTGCAATGACAGAGTGAGCCTCCATCTCAAAAAAAAAAAAAAGGAAGAGAACAGTAACAACAAAATGAATAAAATGACCCAGAAGTTGGAGAAATAACCTGTGGTACCAATCAACAGGGCTGTTGTTTGGACAGGTACCCAATTTGAAAAGGAGGAAAAGATGAAGTTAAGATGAGAAATAATAAGATAAACACATATATTTCCAGATGAAAATTACAATAACCAAATTCCCCACTGTTGGATTGGTTATTCTATAAAATTAGTTTAATTCCTAGGATGTTCATGAGGATGCTTTATTACATGGACATACTGGCTTGAGAGCTGCATAAAAAACTTGCATTATCCCTTGGGTTAAAGCCAAATGAATCATCTGCCTGTTGAGAACTTACTGCACTTGAAGTTCAGAAGATCTGTAACACCTTCTTAAAAACACTTACCTATCTTTGGCCTGAGTGTTACAGCATTTTCATATACTGCCTTCTCTGCCCCAGCCCAATCAGATTAATTGTGCTGACAGAATTATGGATGTGTTGGATCATGGTTGCATTCCAATGATTCAATCTGTAGTCCCTGGTACATACTTTTCACTTGAACATGTGAAGTTCAAGGTGATTGGACAAGTGCAGAGGTATTGCATTGAAGTATTGAAATGTGAGATTATAAAACTAACATTAAGACAAAAGTATGCCAAATTTCAGGGTCTTTATTGCTGGCGACCACAGAGGACTCACGTCTCTCCAACCCATGGCCCCAAAAAGAGGGTGACAAGATTCTTTTATACCAGTAAACCACCTCCGGGGTTGGGGGTGAAGGGATTCAGACATTCTGAGGGCCAGGGGATTCCATAAATCACCTCCCGGGCAGAGAGGAGGGAGTGGGTCTCCGGACATTCCAAGGGCTAAGGGACTTGTTGTCACTTTGATTGTTACCTAAGTGGTTTACAGGAGTCAAGATAAGCATTAGTTTACACACTGTCTGGGCTGTAGTAGAATCCACAGATTTTAGTTACTTATTACAAGTTGCAGGGGCCAGGATAGAATTAGCTTGGGCTGCTTATTCTGGTCATTACTAGTAAGCAAAGGCCAGCAATTCTGGCAGTTACTGATAAGAAAAGGTAAGCAGCTTTACCTAGTGAGCACTTTGCAGAGCAAACTAGCAGTTTTATTTACAGAAGCCAAGGCCAGTAGTTATTGTGAGGAGAATGGGGCAGCCGTTACAACTTATTTCTGAAAAACAGCTTTGTCTTATATAAAATGGCATTGCTCAAGTTCCAGCTATAGCACAGCATGACTGATAGTGAACCTGTATTTCAGTTCAGTACTTTTTAAAAGTTAAATTGTTTTGGCTCATGCCTATAATCCCAACACTTTAGGAAGTTGAGGCAGAAGGCTCACCTGAGGTTAGTAGTTCGAGACCAGCTACAACACACTCTAAACTCTTGTTTATTTTATGAAAAATTCAGGATTCATATTGTGACAAGAAAGAATGTGGAATAATCAACAATCAGTGGGGTAAAGTCAGAAATAGAATATTTCAGCTGAATTTGTGTTTTTTTGTTTTTTTGAGAAGGAGTTTCGCTGTTGTTACCCAGATTGGAGTGCAATGGCACGATCTCGCTCACCGCAAACTCCGCCTCCTGGGTTCAGGCAATTCTCCTGCCTCAGCCTCCTGAGTAGCTGGGATTACAGGCACGCACCACCATGCCCAGCTAATTTTTGTGTTTTTAGTAGAGACGGGGTTTCACCCTGTTGACCAGGATGGGTCTCAATCTCCTGACCTCATGATCCACCCGCCTCGGCCTCCCAAAGTGCTGGGATTACATGCGTGAGCCACCGCGCCTGGCCCTGAATTTGGTTTAAATAATCCCACCTTATTTGCATTAATTACTCTTCCAAGTCTGACAGACACTCCTGACTTAAGATCAGACCATACCATCAACATCTCCTCATGATAAGCATGTGATTCTGTACCAAAAACAAGTTTAAAAAACTATTTCAAGACCTGTTCAGTTTATGTCATGCTTCTTCAACATTAATAATTACAAAAAATTTTTATCAATCCTACTTCAATAACTAGGAGTAATTGATCTTACCTTGTCAGCAAGAAGAAGGCTTCCATCTCTGGTAGGAGCAACTGTTTACTTGCCTTTCCTAATTTTTATAAAGATTCAATGGCATTTAAGCCGAGGGTCTTTTTGTCTACTACCATCAGACAATCTGAATCACAGCACATAATCTAATTAATTCTCAGGTAATGGCCCTCTCATCCCAGAATCTACAAAGCATTTTTCTTTGAAGAAACAGACGGTGGCATTTTTCTTTAAAGGTTATATACTATCTTTGCCGCTAAATCTTCGCAATTGATTTGGAAGCAAAATGGAGCAGGGTTAGGAAGCTACGGAACAGCTTTAAGAATGCTGGATTTGGAGTTAACTTTAGGCTTTATAATTTTTTTAGTAACCTTAGACAATTCACTCCTTTTGTGTCTCATTTTCTAATTCTATAAAATGGAGTACTACCCCCTTCAGAGAGTTTTTGTGATGATTTAATGACTTTCTGTAAAAATACAATTACAGAGTCTTATCTGCATTTAGTATGCACCAAGAGAACCACTTATAAATCTGGGTGAGCATATTTTATGAAAAATTCAGGATTCAATATTGTGACAAGAAAGAACATTTGAAACGGGACCCACCAGGTAAAACCCAGGCTGTATGGGTCATTTTCTTCCTGCTAGCATTCTATTCTTGCTGAGGCTCACACTCAGACTGAAATAACTTTTGATTCTCCTCTGTGGTGCAGGCTAGAGTGCAGTAGTGCGATCTCGGCTCACTGCATCCTCCAAGTCCTGCGTTCAAACGATTCTCCTGCCTCAGCCTTCCGAGGTAGCTGGGATTACCGGCGCCCGCCAGCACGCCCGTCTCATTTCTTTTTTTTTTTCCTAGTAGAGACAGGGTTTCAGCATGTTGGCCAGGCTAGTCTCGAACTCCTGATTTCAGGTGATCTGCCCGCCTCGGCTTCCAACGTGCTGGAATTACAGGCGGCGGCGCCGGGTTATTCTTAAACTCACTCCCATTAAGTACTTGCAAAATGCGCACATGCTGCTCTCTGGCCCGTTTAGAAACTCAGGCCCGTGAGTAGGACGTCCACTTGATTAGTGCTGTTTCACATATTAAGTGTAAAATGCTAGAGACGGTACAAAATCCTCCAGAGGGGGCCTTCCTAACTGGTTAGCATAAGGATCCCTTGCGCAGTTCCAAAGGGTTGTCCATCACCTGTCTGGAACCGGCCTTTCAGTGGGAGGAGAGTGTATTTCTTCCAGCAAAACCTGAATAACCAGCTTTCAGCCTGTGACGCCGCGAGGTAAAAGCGGGCGGGCCCATCAATGTAGCGTTCCGGCGGAGGCCACGCTTCAGGCTGGTAGTCACGTAGACTGCGGAACGCCAGGCCGGACGCCTGCGCGCTGGGATGGGTAGGCTCAGAGGGCATTCCGGAAGCTGGGGCGCGGCGGACTGCGCAGGCGGTGGGACTCCGCTTAGTTTCCGGTGCGGCGAACACCAAAGTCCGGAAACCGGGGCATTTTCAGGTTCTAGGGCTGTTACGAAGCTGCAGGAGCGAGATGGAGATGGACGCACCGGGTGGTGATGGTCGAGACGGTCCCCGGGAACGGCGAGGCCACAGCGAGGCAGGGAGGCAGAACCTCGATGTGCGGCCTCAGTCCGGGGCAAACGGGCTACCTAAACACTCCTACTGGTTGGACCTCTGGCTCTTCATCCTTTTCGACGCGGTGGTATTTCTCCTCGTGTATTTTTTGCCATGGTGAGTATCTTAAATGCAGAATTGGAGTGGTAAGGAGCTTAGAGATCCCTTGCTCTATTTTGGGCGGGGAGGAGACTGAATTCCAGAGTTTATAAAACTTCCAAGTTCACACAGCTGGTGAGTGGCGCAGTCGGGTGGGTGGGGGAGGAGGACTAGGAGTGAAATGTCCTTCCTTAGCACGTCCATGGGAGTCTCCAAAGAAGTGTGGAGAAAACTTGGCGTCATATTTTCTCATGATTTGGAATGGAACCAGATAGGCTTGAGTTCCTGCAGCAACATGAAGCAACTGGAGAAGTTGTTTCGCTTTTTGGAGCTTTATTTTTTCATCAGTCATTTGGGGCCGGTAGTCACCAGGTCATAGGGGTGTAGTGAAGATTGAGATCGTAGTGATTTGCGTGTTGCCTGGCAGTTGTAACTGCTCAACGAAAGCTATTGTTACTATACAGCTGTTTGACCGTGAGCAGACCACGCAGCGTCTCAAACTTAACATGTCCAAAACTGAACTCTTAACAGTTTCTTACCCAAATTTACTTGCCTTTCGGTGTTCTCATTTCAGTAAAGGCCAACTTTATCCAACGTTACCTCCCAGAAACCTGAGACATTTTTGGCTTTTTATTACACACATCCACCTGTCCTAAAACACCAAGTCACAAAATTCTGTAGAGTTCACTTGTAAAACCCATGCTCTCCATTTTCATCGCTACTCACTCTGAAAAGACAATTCTGGCAGAGGGTAAAGGAAGGGAACTTAGAGAATAGGGCAGAGGAAGCAGATACCAAATGGAGATGATGATAAGGAGAAGCAGTGAGATGAAAGAGGGCGCCTATGGGAGAAAAGCAGTGTAGCCCATCTAGACAGCTCTATTGGACTTTGGAATTGATTGTTCACTCACTGTAAGTTAACTCATTAGTCACCATGAGTTACTTCTGAAATTCTCACTTCTTGATAGGCAGTCACTTCTGCCCAACCCCCATCCCCCATCCCTGTATTTTCACAAAGATTTGGGTGTCTTAGGCCTCACTGTATGATTACTTGGTGTAGTAAGAGAAGACAGGGTGAGGCACAGTGGCTCACGCCTGTAGTCCCAGCTACTTGGGAGGCTGAAACAGGAGGATTGCTTGAGTTGGGGCGGTCGAGGCGTCAGTGAGCTGTGAATGCGCCATTATACTCCAGTCTGGGTGACAAAGCAAAACCTTGTCTCAAACAAAGTCGGGGGCAGGGGGCAGGGGAGGCAGAGGGATGAATGGGGAGGATGGCTAAAGGGATAGGGATTTTTATAAAATTCTCTGTCAAACCATTTGTAAAGGGAATTTCACTCTCCCTCCCTATTTTGGTGGAGACTGATCCCAAATACAATGTGGGGTGTGTGTGTGTGTGTGTGTGTGTGTGTGTGTGTGTGTGTTTATGACCTGAGTTTTCAGCTCTGGATAGAAAATGGAGGCCTTACCTGAAATGTTCCAGGCTTTTTTTAAATCAATATGTAAATCATTTAGGAATAGACAAGTGATGAAAACAAGATTTTCTGAAGTAGGCATAAAGTGTTAAACTGGGAAGAAAAAGCAAATATTGCTGACAAATACTTGCTTTTTACAGACTCATTTGGTGATACCTATATTAAGAAGTTCATTCTTGAGTGAATTCTGAAAATGGCAACAAATGTCTTGAATAAAGAAGACAGGACTCTCAACAGAAGAATTTCAAATCTCCAAGGGACCCTTCCTTTCATTTTACACTTTGTTACTAATTTGCAGAACTCTATTAAATTGGTAGGATTTCACACATTCCTCACTAAGTTGTTAAAATTAAACCCTTTGGTTCATGTTTAAAAACGTTTCAAACATCCGATGGCTTTACAGGGGGTGAATAGAAAAAAAATTGTACTTAAAGGTTTTGTGTATTCATTAAGAAATATAGTAATGCCTTTCTTTTAATGTTTTAAGAGTTGTTCAGGATTTAATATGATACAAGTAATATGGTGACTCATAAGCAAAGGTTTATATGAATTCAAAACTAAATTATCCAAAAGCAGGGAAAGATTTTGAGAGAGGGAACAAAGTATTCTTAGATTGCACAGAGGCTGTATTAAAATAAGATATACGGAAAATGCAGGTCCCCAGTGTATTTACTGGCTTTAAGTTCCAGTTTAAATTTTTAGGTTTCATTGGACTCTGTTTTGAAAAGATAGGTTATGGGCAACAGGTTGATACAGTCTTAGAAAAAAATAGGTAATATGAAAGTATTGGAAAGCTAGCACGCATGCCCTCTTACCTGGGTATCTCCCGCTTTTATCCTTTTAAACTCTTGAGCCTCCTAGAATTAAGGAATATGTGTTTCGGGCCAGGCGCGGTGGCTCAAGCCTGTAATCCCAGGACTTTGGGAGGCCGAGGCGGGTGGATCACGAGGTCAAGAGATCGAGACCATCCTGGTCAACAAGGTGAAACACCATCTCTACTAAAAATACAAAAAATTAGCTGGGCATAGTGGTGCGTGCCTGTAATCCCAGCTACTCAGGAGACTAAGGCAGGAGAATTGCCTGAACCCAGGAGGCGGAGGTTGCAGTGAGCTGAGATCGCGCCATTGCACTTCAGCCTAGGTAACAAGAGCGAAACTCCATATCAAAAAAAAAAAGGATTATGTGTTTCAAACCTATTTTTTATTAGTGTTGCATTAAGTATGCTTGTTGCCAAAAATTATTTATTTTTATAATGTCTGTGACTTGCTTAAATACTTCAGCAAAGTCAGCATATTTACTCATTCAACAAATATTTGAGCCAGGCATTAACTTAGACATAGCAATAAACAAAACAAAAAGGGATTCTTGACTTCATGGAGCTTACATTATTGTTATTTAAATCTAAATGTTATAAAACAAGAATTTACATTCAAGGGTTGATCAGCTAGTATTTAATCAAAAAGGCCACAATCCCATAGCAGCTACTCTAAGCTGTACTAATAGAAAATGTTGGCTGGGTGCAGTGGCTCACACCTATGATCCCAACACTTTGGGAGGCCAAGGGCAGTTGACCACTTGAGGTCAAGAGTTTTAGACCAGCCTCGCCAACCTGGTGAAACCCTGTCTCTACTAAAAAATACAAAAAAATTAGCCGGGCCTGTTGGCGCACACCTGTAGTCCCAACTACTTGGGAGGGTGAGGCACGAGAATTTCTTGAAGGCGGGAGGTGGAGGTTGCAGATGGTGCCCTGCGCTCAAATCTGGGCAACAAAGTGATACCCCATCTCAAAAAGAAAATATTTCTGTTAGCCCTAAAGACTTTACATGAGGAATGGTAGAAGTGGGCTCTTGTTGAAATTACTTGCATTTAGTATATGTGAACTGTCTTAAATATTTTGGGGATATTTCCCTTTTAAACAGGGTATAAGATTTGGTAAATTCTCTGTGTATCTTCCTACCTTTCAGAAAAGTCTGGAATTGATTTTGGAGATTTTTAATTGCCTGATGCTTACTATAAATTTAGCAGTTATGCCTTCAGGGTTTTGTCGCATCAACCTAAAGAACCATTTATGGAAGATATGGTTGAAACAGCTATAGGAACGCAGAACTGGGATTTTTCACTGAGTACCAAATCGCTTGTATGACCTGTTTCTGCACTGCTTGCTAATGGTTTTGTCTAATAAATATTTACTTACATAACTGGTTTTATTGTAACAAACAACTGGTGGTGAGATTGTGAGGTGATTAACATGTCTGTGTGTGTGTGTGTGTGTGTTTTTCTCACAGTTTACTGTTAGGTCACACACAGACTTCCGATCATAATTCATACTATCTTTTTGAGCCTAAAATCAGCCAACTACCACAGCTATCAGATATTCTGAAAATTTCTGGTATAGTGAAGATGGAGAGATCTTGGTGTGAAGGTTAATTTTATATGTCATCTTGATTATCCTAGGAGATGCTCAGATTTCTGGGTTTGTCCATGAGGGTGTTTCTAGAAAGATTAGCATTTGAATCAGTAGACTGAATTAAAAAAGAGCCACCCACTCCACTGTGGGTGGGTGTCATCCAGTCCCTTCAGGTCCTGGCTGGAATAAAAAGGCAGAGGAAGGGTAATTCTCTCTTCTCTCTGCTTGAACTGGGACATCCATGTTCTATCCTTGGACATTGGTTCTTCTGATTCTCTGGCTTTCAGACACAGACCAGGGCGTCTCGTTCCCAGACCTTTGGGTTTGGGCTAGAACTACACTATTAGCTTTCCTGGGCCTACTGTTTGCCGACAGCAGACTGTGGGACTTCTCAGCCTCTATAATCACATGAGCCAATCCCTCAAAATAAATTTCTTTCTGTATGTCTCTATATATCCTGTTGGTTCTCTTTCTGTGGAGAACCCTGACTTAGTAATATGACATGACTGCAAATGGTATTTTTAAAATGATGGCAGTATGAAGGTTGAATCTTTCCTACAGATGATGGTAAGAAATTGTACCTACCATTAAACTGTGCCATTTCAAGTAGTGACTGCTTACATTGCCCACACTTTGAAGGCTTTTAAGAAGTGGATAAATGAGACACCAAGAAAAGTTGCAAACTTGCTAAGATAACAAGACAGAAAAAAAGACATCAAAAGAAAATCAATGTGACTGCTCTGATAAATTCTTCTGTAAATTTCACATAATTTTATATAAAATGAAATTATTATTTTAGTAGTTCCTTTTGAAATGAATTGGCTTATTAGCAGTTGCAAGGGATAGTTTTTAGGGGGCTTAACTTGAATGTTTTAGGATGTAAAGAGCTGCAAATACTCAGTCCATAAGTGGCATGGGAGTACATTTGGAGACTTCGGCCTGTGAGCTAAGAATAGGTTTTACATTTTAAATCGGTTGGGGGAGAAAAAAAGACTTTCAGGATATGAAAGATATATGCAATGTGGATTTCAATATTGACAAAGTTTTACTGGAAAACATCCATGCCCATTCATTTACATATTATTTATGGCTGCTTTCACACTACAGAGTTGAGTACTTGTTAACAGAAATATTATGGTCCACAAGGCCTAAATTATTTTCTATTTTTATAGAAAATTTGCCAACTCCTTTTCTAAGGAGCTGTGCTTTAGACCTTGCTGGAGTTTAACTCTTAGGACCTCCTGTGATTAGATATGTTTTAAGATCAGAGAAATTCCAAGTACCCTTGACTTAACAAGTCCCATAATACTCCACATTGGGGGAGGATGACACACAGTTCATGAATGCAAAGAGAAATCCAATCATATAAACTTAAAAATCATTTTATCTTTTTTTTTTTTGAACTAGAAGAAATTGATTTCACATGAAAATATAACATTCTGAAGGTAAGTATTTTAAACATTACAATTGTTGGCTGAATTATTTACAAAGTTACAATAAGCTTATAACCGGATAAAAACATCTGTAAAAATAAATAGGCACCCTAGATGTAAAAATTTTACATGTAATAAAATGATTAGTGTATATATATATCTGTATTTGGAGTGTTGACTCAACATAAAACTAAATGGTCAGTTTCTAGTTTGTGTAGCAGTACATTACATGATTCAGGAGGTTTCAATTGGACAGTACTTAAAAGAGGCAAAACAGCATTTCTATTTGATGTCTACAACTCAACGAAATTGAAAAGACAAATCTCTGAAACTGCTGTTAAATACAAAAATTAGTTTAAATGTTTCCAATAATACATTTCCAACTCACATCTTAACCAAACAGAAAAAAAATACACAAACTTTCTGAAAGCTATTTAAAAACTTGAAGCCCATGTTTCTAGTATTTTACAATGTTATAAAAGCAGTAATTAAAAACATTGGTATATCAAATGCAAGTTTACAAACTTTACATTATTTACAAACTCCATACTAAAAAATGATGTTAAAAATAAGCTTTCTTAAAAGATAAAATTTGGCATTCAAGTATTTCTAACGAAACTATAAAGCAATTATCACTCACTATTATGGTTAGAAAAGGCTAGTAAAAACTATAGGTCGAAGATAAAATTTGCCCAAGACTTGGTAACTGCGTGAAGTTAGACTTTTATAAGCAATTATTTTCTGTTTAACAGTATTCACATTAAATTATTTACAGAATTTTAGAATGTTTTAACAAGATTTATGGAATCAGTCAAGTTGCTAAATTTACTAGTTTATTGAATTATGAGGTTTATCCATTTAGGAATGTAAAAAAAACTAGTTCTGCTTCTCAGTTATCTGGAGTGAACATACAACTATTCGAAACCACAATCAGTTTACCAGCATAGTACAAAATAAAACAACTAATGAAATAAGGCAAAGTAACTTATTTTTACTCATAAGTTACCATTATAATAAAAATTCCTTTAATTTTCAAACCCTTCTTCATGAAAAGTACTTGGGGTAAAATTACTATTTGTTCAGAGTAGAACAAAAGAGAAGGCTACTCTGATTAAACATTCATTAAAATTAAACTCTATATGTGAAAGGCAGAAATTTAATCTGGAAACCTAGATAGATTTTCAAATTCAAATAAAAATGGGTTGACAATCTATAAGCAGGTAATATGCAAAGAAAATGTAGGCAGTTACTATGACATTCCCAGTAAGAGGGGGCCCTACATTAATTCCTAACACTGGTGGTTAGCAGCCCAAAGTAAACCAAACCAAAATAAAGACCTTTCACATTTCATATAAAATTAGAAAAAAAGTAATGAAATAAATATACTAAAGTTTAAGTATTTTAAATGGCTAAAGTAATATTTATGAATATCTGTAATAGTCAAAGGCCTAATTTATCTTAACTAGATACTCTGAAGACAAAATTCTAGGAGCAAAATTCCATCTGTTTCTGAAGATCTGCAAATTGTTAATCATTAAGGCATTTTTTTCCAAATGCTATCATATTCATAAGTCATTTTTTTAAAGACACTTAAAGGGATCATATGCAGTAGACTATCATAGAAGTCAAAAGCAAATGGGTGAAGCCCATTTCTGCTTACCCATTAGAAAGTGCTTCTTCACAAAGCAAATAATTCTTTGACAAAAAAGTACCAAGCTATGTATCACCTGGTACTTCTCAATTAGCGTAGTTTATAATCTCCAAACATGAATACTGGTTAGTTTAATACTTGCAGGTCTACTGGTCACAAAACAGAGGGACAAATTTAATTTTTATTCAAATATGGCAAATGAATTATTACATCTCCCTAATTTTCTGTTTTTCACAGCATGCCAAGACTATTCAAAGGCAATTTCTAAAATATCTAATAAATTGCTCATAAAATTATATATGTGTATACACATACACAAACACACACACACATACATGTATAGTGATTAACAACTTTAAAAATACCATGGGCTTTAATCTTATTTATCACTAGGTTTGGTCAGTAGGTTCCTGTTATATTTAAATGGCCTCCGAGAAGTAAAAGTTGGTGTCAATTTTACCAGTTACCTATTAGAATGTATGCTAGGTTTGTATCTTTGTTCAGAAGGGCAGCTTGAACCAAGACTATTATGTAACACAGGTCTTAGCCCTTTTACACTCTAAGATAGTGAATTATTACAAAAGCCACTGCTTTCTGGAAAAGAGAGCTTGGGCCTCTGATGATATTTCAATCTATATGTATCTGTCATGCAGCTATCAACTGAAAAATAGGTAGTTAATGAAACTGTCTCATTTGGATAGGTAGAAATAGAGTCTAGTTCTGGTTGGCAAAAGGCATCAACAACAGCACCTGAATTTGCCTGAAAATCATTAGTTGAGGAGTTGGACGGGCAGTTTGGTGTGTTGCCAACACGTTCTCTCACTTGAAATGTTTCTTTATGTCTTTCATCATTCATATGTTTACTGACTTCTAAAGTTGGTTCTGAAGCTGTACTTAAACTGTGCTTCGGAAGATGAGAAGTAGCTTTAAACACCTCTGTAAGTTTGACATCAGGTGTAGATTCACTTTTCTCTGACTGTGGCACACTGGTTATAGCATGTTTCTTTGGTGGCAAAGGGGGTGGTGGATTCTGGCAAAAAAGTTTTGGCATCTGACACCCATCAGATCTGCAGCCTGACTGACTTATACATTCTGTGGATAGAGAGTCCTCAGAGTAACATTGATCCATATTTTGCTGCTGGATGAGAGAAGCAGTGTCTTGCTTTAACCCAACAGTTCTTAGGTGTGAAGACCATAATAAAGATGGTTCATTTCTGTTCACTCTCTTCCTAGAAGCAGAGTTATCATCAGCACAAAAAGGCAAACCTGTTCTCTCAGAATTTTCCATATTAAGCCACTCAGAAAATTTGCATTCATTTGGTTTTTCAAGTTTCTGTTCTTCTGACTGGTGGATATGTTCTCTTGTATTATGGTCCTTGGGTATTTGTAGACTGGATGAAGGAAATAACTTTCCATTGGTTTCATGTATATGTGATCTAGAATATGAAAATAAAAACAAAGTTAGAACACCCTATGCAAATATGTGAAACTAGGAGAAAATAAACATGTGTTTTGTAGTTTGATTTTCCCCAAATACAGTTTATATTATTTTTATAACAAAATCACAAAAATGGAAAGGTATTTGCAACCATTAACATTTTCAACTCTCTCCAAATCCAAAATCTTTATGTCAGAATATGTGAGTGTTTACCAGAAACACCCATCATTACGAGAATCCCATTTCTAATAATTAGAAATGTAATTTTAAAAACTGTCTTCAATTGACAACACTAACATTACATTTATTTGTAACAAAATGTAGACTTGAGGAAAGTGTTAACAATACCCTAAAACATCTCCCCGCCAACATTCCAAACTTTAACCGCAATAGAGGTAGAATATTTAAATTTTGATATGTAGCAGTATAGTATGCTAATTATTTTATTTTGCTATGGTGGGGATCTTGCTATGTTGCCTAGGCTGGCTTCAAACTCTTGGCCTCAAGTGATCCTACTGCCTCAGCCTCCTCAGTAGCTATGATTACAAATATGTGCCACCACACCACACCCTGCTGTATACTAGTTTAAAATAATGATTACCTTTAGGTAATAGTTACCTTCTAAGGTAAGGGTAAATGATACTGTATTGCAAATTATTCTTCTCATATAAATTACATGAATTAGAATGCAATGGTTAAAGAGAGTTGAGGCTTTGCTAGGTAGATGGAGCTACAATCAAATCTCAGCTCAATTGTTCTGGTCACATTACTTAATGTAAGCTTCAAATTTTCTCTTGTAAAATACGACCTACCTCCTAAGAATGCTGTGAGCATTGAAACAGACAATCAGATACTGTACCTGGTACTTTGTACACTTTCTCCTTAGATCCACATTCTGTTAATGATTCCCAATAAGAAAGGCATCTTAATACTGTAGACCCATTGCTTTCAAAGTAATAATATATATTTATGCCCTTCTGGTAAACAATGTGCCTATAATACATGTACTTAGGGAAAAAAATTATGGTTACCTTATCAAATGATTTTTTATTTGTAAATGTGATTCTGGGTGGAACTCATGAGATTTATAGCCTGCTTCCAAGTTCTTGAGTTCTTTTCTAAAGCCTAGGGTGGGGTGGGGTGGGGAGGAGAGATGAGGAAAACAAAATTATTTAAATTATCTTACAGAATTTATTTCATTTATATTTTTATATTTACATAAAGTTTTCTAAAAACAGGTAATTCTCTTCCAATTAAAAAAAAAAGTGAATTCTTTGAGACAACTCAAAATAACAGTTCTTTGTTGAAGACTTTATACAAAATTTCTTCAGTTTATCATCACTTGAGGGTGTCATCAATGACAGAATAGTGCTGTTCCTGCTTGGTCATGCAGATCTGTGTATATGTTTCCCCTATTACATGGGATAAGATCTTTACTGACAAAGCGTTACGGTGAAAAAAACCCACATTTGAAGACTGCTGGCTTGGTTTGAAGTTTGGACTCACTACTTATGGGTAGGGAAACAAGCCTCTTAACTTCTTAAAATCTCAGTTTTCATTTATTTAATGGGATAATGATAGTCCATATTACCTACCTCATGGGAATATTAGGAACTTAAACTGAATTAAAATTGGCAGGAGGTTATTATGACAGCATATAAAATATCCGGCTACTAATTAGCTACCATTTATTGACTGCTTACTCAAGTTGTGAAAAGTGGATATTTCATTTAATCTTTACAATAACCTTATAACGAACACTATCATTTTGATGTTAGAGATGAGAAAACAGTGACTTAGAAAGGTTAAGTAACTTACCTAAGGTTATATAACCATACATATATATAACCTTGGTTATGTATATCTCTGTATATCTATATATCACATTTTCTGTGATATATATGTCTATATATATATATATATATACAGAACTCCATCTGTATGACTCAAAAGTCTGTGTTCTTAACCATGATCGCATATTGCCTCCTTATAATTGATACTTAATTGATACCCTGGTTTTGACATTTAATAGGCACCAAATAGTTTTTGAATTTAATGAAGTCTTATGAAAAAATTATACTAATTTACAATGTGACTTTTGTTACTTCCAAGTATCTTCATACTTCTAAGCCTGCTACGTAAGATTTCAGACACCAAATTAAGCATTTTCTCTCTCTCTTTTTAATTATAGCTAGCTGTTGATTAGGGCCTAAAGGCCAATGTGGCACCACATAACATATAGCAGATCTATTTCCCTCTGAACAACGATTCTAGGAGAATTCACTGGAGAGCCTTTAACAATATTAATGTTCAGAGTAAAGCATTATCTACATTTGGATTTCTCTCTACAAAATATGACTTTAACTAAAACAGCTCTAATAAAAATGACTATTGCCCTCTAAACTTTAATACAAGTAAAGGAAATTGATGTCCAGACTACAGACAAAGTAGGCCCAACTGAACAAATAAAACCCTGAAAACTAAATACTATTTTAAAGGTTAGAGATGAAGAAAAGGGAACTAAGACATTTGGATTTATGCAGAAGTTTACCTAAAATTATCTAAGTTTTTGATTCCCGCTTATGGGAAAGCAAAGGACCTGAAAGTCTACAGGGAGCTTTTTCGTTTACTAAAGCACAAGGGGCCTGGGACACCAATATACTGATAGAAGAGTCACAAGCACCAATGTATCGACAAAGCACAAAAGTATCTTTAATTACTTTGTGAACATCATCACCTGCTTATCTTAGAAATGAGAAGTAGGAAACTGTATAAAATTATCTTAGTCATCACCATAATAATGATAGCTACAGTTTATGGAATACCCAATATGTACCAAGTCTTAAGATTATTCTAGTTCAGCAATTCTCGAAGTGTGGCCTTGGATGCCAGGAGGTCCCCAAGACTTCAGGGGGTCTGTGAAGTCAAACTATTTTCATGATAATATTAAGATGTTATTTTTCTTTCTGACTATGATGCCATTTACACTGATGGTACAAAAACAATAATGGATAAAACTGCTGGCATAATTCAAGGCAATAACTAAAATGTAGTAACTGTATTTTTCATTGCCCTACCCTTGTGTTTTTTTTTTAAAGCCAGTTTCATTTAAAGAATGCTTGAAACAGTAACAATTATTTTATTAATTTACACATCTTGTTATTATTCTATGTGAGGAAATGGGAAGTATACATAAGGCATTTTCACCATGGTAATACCAAACATGACAGCTGTTTCAAGAAAAAGCATTTATAGGATTGTTTCAGTTGTCAGCTGAATTTAGCCGGTTTTTCACAGAAGTCCATTTTCACCTGAAAAGATGACAAACTTTGGTTATTCAGACTTGGGTACTGGCAGACATTTTCTTGAAAATAATGAACCTGTCACTTCATGGAAAACAACTGGCAATATTTATTACCAGTGATACAATTCAGGCTTTGAAATGAAAGTAAGAATTTTGGAAAATTTGTATCCACCACCATGAGTTTTACAACTTCCTAATACTTATAAAGACTTTCTGGGTCAAGATGGCGCTGTGAGAACAACCCAGGATTGAAGCTCTCGCTGGACGCATGGAGAGGGTGAGTCGGGGAAGCATTTCCAGAGGGATCTTAGTTGCCCACAGAACAGGGAAATTCCCAGGTATAAAAGAGACGCGGGACACCAGGCAGAGGTCTCGGCTGGTGCAGTCGGCAGCCGGTGCGGCTCCGACCCGCGCCGCAGCACAGAGGCGCTCCCCAGCGCTCCATACAAAAGCGCACTGTTACGGGTGCCCTGTTGAACCGGCAAACTGAGACCCGAGAGGGCTGAACTTGAGACTGAACGGGTCCTGAACTGTGACCCAGCCCAGGAAATCCCAGGGACTCAGCATTTGGGGGACCGCAGTGCAACAAACAAAATGGTGATTCCAAACGCTCCTGGTGAAAAGGTTTTTTTTAAAGCACAGCTCCATGGGGGAGGGGCATCAGCCATTACCGAAGCAATCAGCCCCTACTGAGGTACACGCCCATTGCTGACGCAGCCTGCCATTGCCGAGGCAACCCGGTACAACAGAGAGACTCCGCCACAGGGCATAGCCCGTGGCAACAGGGCAGAGACCACAGAAGAAGGGCAGAGCCTACAGCAAAAGGGCAAACCTCACTCCAGCAGGGCGGAGCCTCGGCAGGCAAAAAGTGACTAGACTGCCTCCTAGCCGGGCAGGACAGCGAGGCGGACACTCACAAGGAAAGCCCAAACCCGCCCCCAGACAGAGCATCTGACAAAAAAAGGGGTTTTCTTACGAGTTAGGTTGCAGCAGAACTAAACATAGCAGCCTAGCAGCCCTGAATGAACAACAGAGCTCACAGCTCAGCACTTTGAGCTCCTATAAAGTACAGACTGTCTCCTCAAGCAGCTCCCTGACCCCTCTATATCCAAAAGACTGACATTTGGCAGACATCATCCTGGGACAAAGATAGCAGAAAAAGAAACTGGTAGCATCCCTCGCTGTTCCGCAACTGCTATAGGTACACCCCAGACAAGCAGGGCCTGGAGTGGACCTCAGCAGATGTACAGTGAAGGGGCTAGACTGGTAGAAGGAAAACCAAGTAACAGAAATGCTCCATCATCAACAATCTGGGTGTCCACTCAGAGATCCAATCGAAAAGTCAGCAACTACACAGACGACAAGTGGATAAATCCACAAAGATGGGAAGAAACCAGCGCAAAAAGGAGGAAAACACCCGAAACCAGAACACCTCGCCACCTAGAAAGGACCAAAACTCCTCACCAGCAAGGGAACAAAGCTGGATGGAGAATGACTGTGACAAAATGACGAAATTAGACTTCAGAAGGTGGATAATGAGAAACTTTTGTGAGCTAAAATAACATGTTTTAAATCAACGCAAAGAAACTAAGAACCTTGAAAAAAGATTTGAGGAAATGATAACAAGAATGGATACCTTAGAGAGGAATATGAATGAATTAAAGGAGCTGAAAAAAACAATACGAGAACTTCCTGAAACATGCACAAGTTTCGATAGCCAAATTGACCAAGCAGAAGAAAGAATATCAGAAGTCGAGGATCAACTCAATGAAATAAAACGAGAAACCAAGATCAGAGAAAAAAGCGCAAAAAGGAATGAACAAAGTCTCCAAGAAATGTGGGACTATGTGAAGAGACCTAACCTACATTTGATAGGCGTACCAGAATGTGATGAAGAGAATGAATCCAAGCTGGAAAATACTCTTCAGGACATTATCCAGGAAAATTTCCCCCACCTAGCAAGACAGGCCAACACTCAAATGCAGGAAATACAGAGAACACCACAGAGATATTCCGCAAGAAGAGCAACCCCAAGCACATAATCGTCAGATTCAACAAGGTTGAAATAAAGGAGAAAATACTAAGGGCAGCCAGAGAGAAAGGTCGGGTCACCCACAAAGGGAAGCCCATCAGACTCACAGCAGATCTCTCGGCGGAAACTCTACAAGCCAGAAGAGAGTGGGGGCCAGTATTCAACATGCTTAAAGAAAAGAACTTTCAACCCAGAATTTCAGATCCAGCCAAACTGAGCTTCAGAAGTGAAGGAAAAATAAAATCCTTTGCAAACAAGCAAGTACTCAGAGATTTTGTCACCACCAGCCCTGCTTTACAAGAGCTCCTGAAAGAGGCACTACACATAGAAAGGAACAAACAGTACCAGCCATTCCAAAATCACACTAAATCTCAAAGAGCATCAACATAATGAAGAATCTGAAACAATTAACGGGCAAAACAGCCAGCTAGCATCAAAATGGTAGTATCAAATTCACACATAACAATATTAACCCTAAATGTAAATGGACTAAATGCACCAATCAAAAGACACAGACTGGCAAATTGGATAAAAAGCCAAAACCCAGCAGTGTGCTGTATCCAGGAAACCCATCTCACATGCAAGGATACACAAAGGCTCAAAATAAAGGGATGGAGGAAGATTTACCAAGCAAATGGAGAGCAAAAGAAAGCAGGAGTTGCAATTCTCATCTCTGATAAAATAGACTTTAAAGCAACAAAGATCAAAAGAGACAATGAAGGCCATTACATAATGGTAAAAGGATCGATACAACAAGAAGAGCTAACGATCCTAAACATATATGGACCC